GACAAGGAGGAGAGTGTTGGATGAAGACATTGCCGTGTCCATGCGGACAGCCAGGGAAGTGTTCGTACTGAGCCTGCACGGGTGCTACTCAGTCTGTGTCTGTCAGGCTGGGATACCCCACACCCTTCTGGACTTGTCTCACTGCAGCTTGCCACCCACAGGAGCAAAGCTGGAAACCTGCATCTGAGTTTACACCCGGCTTCAGGAGAAGTCTCATGTGGCTTTTTAGTGTCTGAAATGGAAAGTTAGTTCTCGGAGTAGCTGAAGTTTTGGAAGATGGATTTGGGAATAACACAATATTCCCTCTGTGGCTCTTGTTCCTGCATCACCAGCCTAAGAGCATCCAGAAATGTGTTCAGAACTCCAAGAAGATAGAGCAGATAGGTGGATGTAATGGTTCAATTCAAAATCATGTTTCTGCCTTTGCAGTTTTTTTTTTCTTTGTGCCAGCAGCAAGATTATGATGATCCTTATTGTGTAGAAGGAATTCGATGTGTTTCCACAGCCTCTGGGTTCAGTACCTCCAGGTGTACATCTGGGATTTTTGGAATTTAAAACTCTGGGGGTAAATCACCCACCAGAAGTGAAAGGTTGTTCCCCTGGGGGTGAGGGAGTCTGTCACTGCAGTGCAAAAGGTGTCACCCACTGGTTGGTGGGTGCCTCAGGATGGAGACAGCTGGTGGCTGTGCTGGTGTACAGAGTGTGTGGCCCCACAGCAAGCCTGTTCCTGCACAGCCACTCTGCCTCCCTCAGAGGAGATGGTCTGACAGGGCTTGAGTCCAGAGTTATTTCTGAGGCCTAAAGCAGAGTTTGTATCTGTGAAGGCAGGAATAAAGCCCTGCCAGCCAGCCCCAGCCACAGGGGCTTCAGGCTGCCTCAGGAGTGCTGCAAACACTGCCACTGCAAAGAAAATAGATTGTGATAGGAGAGAGAAACTGATTTGTGATTGTTGGCTCAATACTAGCAAGTCCATCTGGGGTTGATGCTACTCCATACAAGACATCAGAGCATTTTCAGCTGTCTGCTCTAGCCACGTGTGAACTGTCCATTTTCTGTCTGCAGAGGAGCAAGAAGAGAGACTCAGAAATAAATTGTCTGGAAGGCTAAGAATCCAAAGCTGTGTTTAAGAGATCTTTTGAGAATATATTTCTGTAACTACTGTGGCTTGTAAGTCCCTATGCTTGGAGTCACTCACAGAAAAAAACTTGCAAGACCTCATTGACAGCCTGCCAGAAAACCTAGCTCTGCCTTTCCTATTGTAATGTATCACAAATGCCTTCTTGCATTTCTGGCCCTTTTCAACATAGATTCTTGCTTGCTGTTCCATAACTTCTTGGCCCATGAAGTAGCTGTGATCTTGTAGCACAAATAGCAACTGAGGAGTCTTAAGCAGTGAAAAATTCCTTAAAATACAGATGTAAGATTTCACAAACAAATAATCTTACCTGTCAGTCAACTTCATCTTCCAAAAGCTGACATTCAGCCATTCAGACCCTGGCTGTGTGGTGTAAAGCTCATGTCCTGTTGTAAATGTCCTGGTTTTGTAGTGTACTTGCTCTCCCAGCTTTGAATGCTGACTCCAAGAAGGTTGTTTTCCTCCTGAGGGTGACTCACATTGCACAGGTGTGCTGAAAAATGAACACTACAGGGCAGTTTGGTTTCTCAGCTGATAACCAGAGCTCTAGAGGTCTTTAGGTTTTCATGATTTTTGTAAATGTGAAAAGTTTAGAGATTTGTCCATCTGTTAAGAATACTGTTAACTTATGACATAAACATTTGTATTACAAGAGAAGTAAAAACATGGAGTGCAGTCTTAATGCCCAGTGTAATCCAGTTGCTTTGGTCTTCAAAGTAAAGGAAGCTTTGGCAACATCTGTCATCTTGTTTCCTCTTCCAGGTAAATTCCGTTTCCGTCCTGAGGCAGATGAGCAAACCATTAGGATTGATAAATGGGTGATCCATGAAAATTACACCAAGAAGACCTCAGATAATGACATAGCCATGCTGCACTTGGCTGAGCATGTGATGTATTACAAGTACGCGCTCCCCATCTGCCTTCCCACCCGCAACCTGGCAGAGCAGGAGCTGATGAGGAGCGGGAAGCAGGTGGTGGTGTCGGGCTGGGGCAGCCTGAGCGAGGATAACCAGAGCTACGCTGCTCTGCTCAGGTACATCGAAATCCCCATCGTGCCCCACAACGAGTGTGCCCAGGCCATGAGCTCCCACATCTCTGAGAACATGCTGTGTGCTGGGAGCCTGGGGGACAGGAAAGATTCCTGCCACGGGGACAGCGGAGGCCCTATGTTCGCTAGATATAAGGATACTTGGTTTTTGGTAGGGCTGGTAAGCTGGGGTGAAGGCTGTGGAAGAAAGGAGAAATTTGGAGTCTACACCAAAGTTAGTCAGTACCTTGAGTGGATCCAGCACCACATAGATACATCAGCTCCTTTGAAGGGTTGATTCTGATCCAGAGTCTGGAATGCTGTGACTCTATGCTAGTGGCAGTATGCATTATAATGTACTGTCACATCTTCAGTATTAAATATTGAGTATGTGCTAACCTTGTGTGCTGTTTTCTTTGGTATCTATTTTTTCCTCCTTTTTTTCTTGTTTACATTGGTTTCTTGCAGGTTATGTTGTTTATTTGTGGCATGGTCCTACTTCGGCCTTACAGGCAAGAAAATATCCTGTGTTAGCTGAGATGCTGTACATACAGCATTGTAGAAAATAAGGTTGTCCATGGTCAGACAACTCTGTCTTTGAAATAAAAATGTCAGTTGTGTAAAATGTCTGAACTGGCTGGGGTGGAGACAGGAGGGGGACACAGAAAAGTGTTCTGCAAATAACCCTAGAGATGCAGTTCTTTAATTTCAGCTGTACTGCAAGGTAGTACCCACAGTAACTGTTTTGGTTTGCTTGGTATTTGTATAATTTTTCTTTCAACCCAGTGAAATTTTTATTCCATCATTACTACCTCCAGTTCTTCATATATTACTCCAGTGTTCACAGATTGTTGATTCAGCAGGTTACTGGAACTTACCTGTATTTTCCATTCTTTGCACACTTGACACCAGATTTTACCCTGCCAAACTTCCTTAAAACAGAATGGGTACTCTCTTTAGTGTTATTCCAAAAACCCAAACGCACAAACAAGCACCAAAACCAAACAAAAACCCCAAACAAAACAAAACCCACTTTAATGCCAAGCTTTTGCAGGCTCTATTTATCATGAAGTCTGTAATTCTCTTCTAATTAACAAGCAAGCAAACACTTCTCTTCATTCCTGTTCTGTGGGTGCAGTGGGCTGCAGACTGTGTTAGTACTCCCAATGCTTTTACTGATAAATACATGTTTGCTTGTATCTGTCTATGTTTATATCAGTAAACAAAATAAAGACATACAGCATCAATAAGTCCATAGGAACTAGCACTAGTCCAAGTGAAGTTTAATATCACACTTTATAGTTGTTTCTAATCTTAGTACTTGAGACTTGTTAAACATAATTAATCTTGTAGAAAGAAAAACTGTCTCTGCTGTAGTGATGTGTTTCCAACATCTTGATGGGCTTGCATGCATGTTTGGATCAGTGAAGAACTTCAGTCTGCTCTTGTGACGAGATTGTTAAACAAAAAAAACCCAGGTATAATGAAATTTTATTAGAATTTGTAAGAAATTTAATAAGATACCAGAAAGGAGGCTTAATACCTCTTAAATTTGTTCCCTCAGAAGCTGCCTCTGTGCTTATTACCCAAGTGAGGATTTCCAGTCATGCACTGAAGAAGTAGCAGTCAAGCCAAAGGCTTCTGTGTTACTTGTTGGCTCTGTCGCTCCCCTCTCCTCCTCTTTTTGCCTTGGGACAGGATTTAGGGATGGACAAATGTTAATAATGCTTTGAACAGCAGCCTTCCCTCCAGGCCTGCATGGGGAAGAGGGAACCTGTAACACTGACTTGCACGAATGTGTTCAAAGGCAGTAAGACACAGGTCTGAGTGACAGCAGAAATTGTAATGTCGGAGTGGCTGTGACTCTGACAGGACAGTATTTGCTTGCCTGCAGGTGACTGCTGTGAATCCTGCTGCACACTCCCAGCTCTGCATATTTCAGCAGAGGTTTACAAAGCAGCTTGTGTATTTTCCAAATGGGTTGGTTTTACCTGCTGGAAGGTGATGGATTGTCAGAAATACACTCTCAAAACTTCCATATTTTCCTGAATAAAATTATTCCAAAAGGTGGCTATTACTGAAGGATATTTTTAAAAACCTTTTGATTTTCTTTTTAATGCACCTGTATATATGTGTGGAAACACAAATGCAATTTTCTTCTGATTTTGGTTTTCTAATGTGTTTCATGGAATCCAGGTTGTCTCTCCTCTGTCAATATTTGTGATGGGTTAATGATTGACCTCATGGCTGTCCCTGATGTATATCCAAATCTCTTTTCTGTGTTGCTCTAAAAAAAGAAAGAAAAAAGTATAATTGCATGATTCTGTGTAGGTGAACTCACTCTGGGTTCTGTGTTTTTGAAAACATGCTGCAGGAAGCAGAGGGGTACGTGCTGTCAAATCCTGGTAAATCAGTCAGCGTGGGAAGGTAATGCCAAGAAATCCTTCTGCCAAGACAAACTTCTGTGTTGTACCTGTGACTCCCAGGTATATGGGGGTTGGTGCCTGGCTGGGGTCGGTGTGGATGGTGTTACTTGCCAAGACCATCAGGAATTGCACAGTGGTTGCTGGAGCTCTTGGCTGGTTGTGTATCTGCCTTGGCACAAGAGCCAGCACAGCGGGGACTGAGCTGTGGCTGGGAGTGGCTCCTGCTCCTCTGGAGTCTGGCCCCTGCACTCCTGTCCCAAGGCTTTTTCACTGGGACTCTGGCTCAGACCCTGCAGAGGCTGGCTCAGCCTCTCTGCCTGTGAGGATGCCTACTGGGCTGGCTTGGGGAAAGCAGGGACATGAGGTCAGACTGAAGTGGGGAGATTCTGATTTCTTTGTCCCTGCTCTTGTCCTCTTGCTTCTGCTTCATCTTTGTCGTCAACTGGTTTCATGGCAACAGACTAATTTGATTCTTCTTTTCCCTCTGAAGGAAGTCAGAGTGTTCTGAATCTCACTGACATGGAGAGCAGCTCCTTACTTGGGATATTTCTCCTGCTGATGTGCTATATCAACAGCAGCTGCCTGTTTTCATATTCAGGTAGTACTTCTGAGTTATCTTTTTGTGTTACTGTGGTAACTGGAAATTTCAGCATTTAAACTAAAACTACATTCCTCACACAAAGTCCTGTGGGTTGAAGAAACACTTTCTGAAATGCACAAGCAAAAAATACTATTCATATATATATTGAGGAGAAATCAGCCTTTCTTATATTGATCATATTGAATCCAAAATCATAATGATTTTTGCATGGCAAAGACTTCAGTTTGGGAAGCTAAAACAAGGTGCTCTCAACGTGTGTCTACTTAAGTGTAGGTAAATCCTCTGAGGTGACCCCAGAACACAAGGGGTGGTGAAAGGAAATTTCACTCATGTACATTAAAGACATTTTCTCTGTTACCAGACAGCAGGATCTGCCTAAAGCCTTTCTCCATTAGGAATTTTTGTGTGCTGTTATTAATTGCCTAGAAATGAGGCAAATTAATATAAGTCTAGAATTTCAGGAATTGCTGTAGATACTGTTCCTGCAACTACAAAGAAATGTGTGTTTTCACAGTCCATCTCAAAAGTGGGTTCTTTGTCCAAGGGCACTGCCCCATTACTTGGAAAATGGAGCACTGCTAAGTGCACTGCTATGTGGATTTTTGTGGGCTTTGTTGGGATCACAGCCTCAGTTTTCACCTTGGAACACTGGTAGCAGCACTCTCCCAGCATCTGCTGGGTGGGCTTTGGCTATTGGGCCACACTTCTGGAGATGGAACAAAAAGGCAGAAACCTTCAGAAGCAGCAGGGGGTGTGTGGGCAGGACCTTACAGCCATGTTGTCTCTTTTAGCCCTTCCTCTCTTAATTTACTGAGAGCAGTAGCTTCAGGCATTGCAAGAGGAGGGCAGGTCATATAGTGAACTATATGTAAAACTGAACATTTACATACATTTAGAACTAAATGTAAAACTCACATTTCAATATTTCTCTTAATGGATGATTGGTGTCTGTCTTCTTGTGGCCATGATAGCACCTGGAAAACTCTGGGTCTCCATTACCAAATATCAAACTAATAATTGCTGGGAATCAAGATGGTTAAGCAGAAAAATATAACCATCCTCCACAGAAGAAGCTGCAATACTCAAGAGTCTTATGGAATAAAATACTATTTCTGCACTTACCTAGAGGTCTCAGTAGTTCTTTTGATTCATTGAAAGAAAGCTTAAACTACTGGTATCTTTTGCTGGAAAACAGGCTAATTTTATTGTCCTTTGGTTGGTGTAAATTTCCACTCCCCCTATTTATACCACTCTACTGAATACCTATCTGACTATGACTGTAACAATGCTGCTGCTTTGTCTTCCTCTACCAAAGTGTTCAAGTTTGCTCTTCTAGTGTTTATGAGAAAAGACAAAGCCCATGAGATGCTGTGAGTCCATAAATGTGCCAACCACCTTCTAGAAGAGATTTGTCAAGGGAACCTGGAGAGAGAATGCAATGAGGAAGTGTTCATTTGAAGAGGCTAAAGCGATCTTCCATTCACAAGAGAAAACAGTGAGAAACCCAATTTTAGGAGAAATAGAGGGAAGTTAGCAGTGAGGTATAAATAATCCTGTCCCGAGGTGTAAATAAAACTGGTTGTTAAGGGAGGGAGGAAGGGAGCACTGGGCTTGCATTCTGTCCTGAAGAGGGCCTGGGCAGGCTGCTCCTGTCTTGATGCTACTGACTGAGAGAAGGCACAGCCATGGGTCCGTGTCTGGGCAATCAGCTCTGTACACTCAGTTGGTGGCCAAAGGGCTGCTGAACACACGGTGTCAGAGTTGTTCCTGGGCTCTTCCTGGAAGGTTGAGTACCATCCTTGGACAGGAAAAGCACTGTGTTGAGTTCAACATGACACCACATATCCTAAGCTCTAGTCTTTGTTTCTGTCATTCTTCCCCCCAGCTCCATTTCCCTGTGGCCTGATGAAAGCCAGGAGGGCTCTGGAGGAACAGCAGCTGGGCTGAAAGGGCTCTGCAGGGGCCCATGGGCGCATGGGGATGTTGTGCCCCAGTGGAATGGGAGCACAGAGGGCACAGTTAAACAGAAGCCACTATGGGACAGTACTGCAGGGCAAGAGCTGCCTGTCCCTGAGCACTGTGAAGCAGTGGAGGAGAACATCAGGCCTGGTGCTCAGGGAGAGCTGAGCCAGGGTCCTGCAGGGCACAACGAGACCCCAGCACCTGCAGCCAGGAGGGAAGGAGCAGTGGGAAATGCAACGGGGCAACACCAGCGATGGGAGGGCTCGGGCCAGAATGGAATGGGGGCTGTTCAGACTGGGAATGAGGCACTGCAGCAGGGCAGTGACTGGAGAGATGTTTTGGACAAGCCTCAGCCCACCCCTCAAACCACCCAAACATCGACTCTGCTTTGGAGCAGTGTGACTGCAGGGTAACGGGAGGAGCACTGTCATCATGGACATTGCCCCTGGCAGGTAATACTTTACTTCCAGTCTCACCATAAACACCACACCTAAATGCTTGCTTTATCATCACTGGGTCTGTCAGGAGGAGCAGAGTTCGTCAAGCCATTATAAAGTTGTTTTTTCAGGTTGAACACAATGGAACCACACGTATTTCTCAGTCTTATGATGGGCTTTTTGATAATAGGGACCTTAAATACCTCTATCATTCTTCTCCTATCTTGCTTTTGGATTGGAATGTTAATAACCTCTCTGTAAGTCAGATCATTAGTGCTTTATGGGTTGTGTCTGCATGTCCTTGGGGAAAAGCCAAACTTTTCCTCCTTTTGGAAAGCTGGTAATTTTCACAAGGTAAGTTCCATGGCCAGGTAAGGTTCCTTAAAATGCTGAGCATGGTAAGGGAGGTAAAATTGAGGGCTCAAAGGTGAAGGCAAGTGCATGTGGCAAACAGGGACAACTAAAGTGTTTGTTTCCATTGTTTTATTTTGGATTTTAAATCATGGTTTGGGGCATTTTTTGTGCATGGCCTTATTTGTTACTAATTTTCACTCTATTGTCTCTGGTCAGTGTCTTAGTGCTGTGAGGACTTGTGCACAGGAATTCTGATCTAAAAAACCCTCATGTTACCCTCAGTCTGTTTTACTGCTGTCATACAAATGGACTGCCCCATTCCACAGGTCAGGAGGTATTTACACGTAGAAAAATCCAAGGCTGAGCCTGGGTAGACTGCATTCATTGTGCACTTTGACAAGTAAAGATGTCACTATTAGCCAATTTTAGGGGTTTCCACTATCTAGCCAGAATCTGGGTTGGTAGATGGGAATGTTGTTTGAATGCTGCCCAACCTGTACATTTTCTTCCAACCTGTACATTTTCTTCTTGAAATGAAGTGTTACCAGCAAAGTTGAGGAAGTGTTAAATTTTCATTACAGCTGGCAACTTGTAATTTAATCTTGTGTGTGTATATATATATATGTGCATATATAATCATTCTATTTTTTTAAAGAGTTTTGCATTCTAGTTCTTCATAACCTAAGACAGCATTTTCTGGTAATTGTTCTTTGCAGTTTCTTCCAGTGTTTATTTCTTAGCACTACTGAAGAGAATTAAAAACAACAACAGTATATAGAATTAAGTCAAAATGGGTCATGTCTATCTCCCGGAGCTGGACCATGGTAGGAGGCCAGACTGTCACACTCCTTTCCACTCTTTGATTATTAACTTCACTGGAGGCACAGAGTACCAACATTTATGCTTTTACTTCAGTCTAACACATGAACTAACAGGTCTGGGAAGTTTAATTGAGGAGATGCTGAGGCAGTGATGGAGCTTATAACTTTGAACAGACAACACAGACATCAAACACAGAGCAGCATGTTTTAACTTGGCCATTTGCTACTGTGCAGATGATTACAAATTTTATTATAGGCGTCCCAAAGAACTACACCTTGTGTTTCTGTTCCCAGCCGCCAAAACTTTTAAAACCACATTAATAAAATCACAGTCATACTTGTCCCTTCTGAAGAATGCTAGCCACTGCAGCAGGCAATTTATTTGTCAAGATTAGTGATGTTAAAATAGTCTGTTCTCTTGTCCCAGCAGTTTTATCATTTTACTGGTTTCACCCCAGCTGTGCTTGGTGTGCTGGTCATTCCCACCGGCCGTGCTCCTTGCCCAGGGTGCGAGAGCCGGGCCCGCCCCGCTGCCGGGCTCTGCCTCTCCCGAGCCGCAGGCGCTGCCCCGGAGCGGCCGGGCCCTGGGGCGTGCGGCACCGTGCTGGGGGGCTCCCTTCTATGGGAGACAGTAGGGGGCCCTTCCCCTGGCCTCCTTCACTGTGTCCCACCACACTTTGTTTCCTCTGGGCACTGGCGGCTGGGGCTGGGGTAAGGGCTGTGCCAAGCAAGGGAAATAGGGGGTATACACCAGAGTATCCAACTACATCCCTGGATGAAAGAGGCGGTTGAATGCTTAGCACATTCAGAAAACTTTTCCATTGACTTTTAGTAATACCACCTCTAAGAACAGGATCAATTCTATTATTAGTGTTTCAATCTATGACACTATGCCTGCTCCCATCCCTAATAGTGTAAAATCAACTTACCCTCCAAGAAGTTCTGAAATGCATAAAATGCTCATTTAAGTACTGCTGAGTAAGTATAATAAAGAACCATCTGCAAGTAACAAAGGCAGAGATAACTCCTCTTAATGTGAAGCAGGAAGATTTTTTTGCTTTAGAGAAAGAAAGCACCTTTCATGTCTCAAGCCTGTGTTCCTACAGGCCCACAGCCCTGTGTGCATTCAGTGCCCACTGAAGGAAATGCAGTTGTAACAGTGTCCATCACAAGACAATGAACACAGGGAGGGAGTGCTGAAGTTCTGGCACCAAGTACAACCTTGAGTACAAATCAGTTACAGATCTGTATTTACAAATCTCTATTTGTATACAAATTTGTACTATAGGTCACAATTACAGAAGCTTTCCAATACAAAACCCAGTGTCTGTATGGAATAGTGTATAAACCAAGCAGGAACTGACCTTGCTTCAGGATAGGATTTTATGGCAGGAATCTGAACAGTTGATCTTTGTGTTTCATGTTAAAAGTTTTGATTTTTTGACCCTTTCTAACAATTGACTATGAAGTTATAATTACAAACCCCCAGCACTTGTGACAGTCCATTCTTACCATTCCACAACAGAACCTTTGTTTTCCTCAGAGAATAAGCAGTGCTGAGCTATTATGAACAATTTTGACTGGAAGAATTTGTATTAGATCTTGCACAAGAGCACCAGGTTCAGTACTTCAGGGAAATGCCTCTTAGGATGTAGAAGTAGCCCCCAGCAACCCCCAAAACAATAGGACCAGACTCTAACACCAGAACTACGAAAAAAGTTGGGGGATGAAAAAAAGAATTCCTTTTAACCCCTGAACCTTCCAGGCCAAACAGACTCTGGCTCTGAACAGCTCGACACAGTTCAGTAATTCTTCAGTGTTTCATCTCCCACTATGGCAGTAAAGAATGTCCTGACTTTCAAGAAACAAAACTAAAAAAACCCCAAACTCTAAGCCCCTGGAGGGCTCAGCATACTAAAAATACACCCTGAGGTGGTTACTGCATTATACACATACCTGGAGAAAGCAGGAGCAGACTATTAGTGTCCCAGCCAGCACAGGTGCTCTCCTTCAACACAGGTGTTCTTCAGCACAGGTGCTCTCCTTGTTTCAAGCTGCTGTCCCAGCACACAGCTCTGTTACTCCATCATTCCCTCCACTCACAGGGGCAAATTCAACATGTGACCCCCTACACAAACTTGCAATCTCTCCCCTGGTGCCAGCAGTAACTCAGCCAACACCAGGGTCCACAGAATTACAGAATACTCATTAGAGACTCTGCTCCTCCAGCACAAAGGTGATTTTTCTTAATGAAAAAATGCCAACTGCCAATTACCTGTGCAAGCGAAGACCTCTTCTTAGAAGCAAGCTCAGCAGAGACAGCCATTTTCAGAGGTAGAGGCAAAGAAGCCACAGAATACCACTTATCCTATTGTCAGTCTGTAGCAGCAGCAGCAAACAAACAGCAGTATGCCCCCTAACAAAAGAATGTTCCCCTTCTCACTGGTAAAACAGACTTTTGCAAAGTCACTGGTAAGCCACAGTGACATTTCAGCTGGAAGGTGCTGGAATTTTTAGTGGTTAGTCTGCTGGCTTTCTTCCAAA